AGCACCTTTTTTTTGGCTTAAAAGTTTAACCTTTTATGTTGAAGATATTCGCCGAGTTCAGCTCGTCTGCATTCGCAAAGACATATTTTTAGAATAACGGCTATCCATCTACTGGAAGATTTATGTATTTTTTTGCTAACACTTCCGAGAACTGTGGGTTCAAGTGGCACCACTAAAATCTGTAAATTTTCACAGTATCTTACAGTGTCACTGTGTTGCAATGAAGAGTTCTATTCGGGCAACTCTAAATTCTTTGTGTAAAGTTAGGTTGAAATTGCGTAGCTGAACATATGAACAGAATCTAGTCACAGATTTTAATTTCAAAGAAAAAAGAACTTTTTACATGAAGAGATGAGTGTTTTAAAGCAAAACCTCAAACTTTAGCAGATTCCAAAGCTTACAACTATGTTATTCTAAAAATTTTTCAACAAAATGACATTACTCATACAAGAATGATTGCCAATGTAATTTTTGAGTGGAAATTGTACCTAAAGATTATTTTTACGACGCTTATGCATTTCATCGGCAAAGCCGATGTCAAGTATCCATTGTTCGTAAAAAAAGACAAATCTTAGATAATTAAACTACAAAGGCAATTAAAAGTGGAAAGTTGAAGACAGGAAAAAAAGAAAAATAGAAAATTTTGTAACCCAAAAAATTTCTAAAATCTTCTCATTTCTTCATTAAATTCATAGAAAACTTAATAGAACGAATGAGATGAAAATATTTTTCAGATGTCAAGAGGAAAGAATGTTCAGCTATGTGCTCTTCTTTTACCGTTTTTCTGAACCCTCTCCACTGGGTTGAAATATGTGCAAAAAGCATCCCACCTCTGTTCACAATTCCCCTCTGCCGTTATCATCCTCGTACAGAAACTAGAAGTCGGGTACACAACCCTAAATGAGGATCAACAAATTTCTGCTGACTCATCTGATCATTGAAAAAAAAATTTCTCAAAATTAAGCATCTAATTAACAATTATCAAGCGGATACTGAATGCATCATTCAATTTTTAAGCAGAAATAAGCTGTTTAACTAATTCAGCAATTTTATACACAACACTGCTGAAACTGGAAGAGAGCTCGATGAATAGTGCTAAACAACAAAATTGGAACGGTTTTTTGAGTTGCTTCAGAATATCAGACGATTACACATCTGGACTGAAGTCAAAAATGTTGTAATATGCAGGAATAGGCGATATAAATGACGCGAAATATACTCTGTAAACGAAAGGTATTCAAAATGTAAAAATTTCTGCGTTTTGGCCAATTGCCATTCTTTGAATTTTTCAAATTAAATATCAGTTTTTTTTTTTTTGTTTCTGTCGATATGTTAGTTCACAGTT